GATGGTCATAAACTAATCAAAGAAAGGAATATTAAATATTCATTTTCCTATCCTTATTGCTGTTGTCGCTGTGGGTAGATAGACAATTTCATTAGAAGTTTAGTTTGTCGGCGACCTCTGTTGCTGCAGCACTATGGTAATCTCTTTAATTAAATTCCTCCATTGTATGAATATGGAACAAATAGCATCTCCAGGACAGTGTCGCAGACAATATACATTGAAGCAAAGAGAGGGAAAAATACCAAAAACGTTATGCAGGACCTATACACATGACCGCCCTTCAAATTAGCACGAAGACAGGTGCAATCAAACTGCTGAGAACATATAACAAACTTGGATAGCATAAATCTGCAAGTGTCAATAAGTGGCAATACCTGAGTTTCCTTTAAGGTGTACTGCTCCAATAGTGTCTTCTTGTCCTCATGTGTGAGCACATGATGCTTAGGAACAAGAACATGCTCCTTGATGTTTGTAAGCAACTCGGTCTCCTGTTCATTACTTCAGATATCAGAAATCATGACATAGAAGATCATTGATTATTGCACAATAGCATGCGGGCCAAGCAATGAGTCAAATTGGAGTAGCTTCAGGGTGTGCAGACTAACCTGGAAAACTTCCAAATGGATCTTTGGCTCCAATTATATGAGAAACGACTTTGCAAATGGAGTTAGGTTCTGTTGAAGTACTAACATATCTCTGGAGACATTCTCGTGCGTCATCATTTCAACATACTTCTTGATGTGCTTCATCCCTACTTTGTCATCGTTGGGGAAGACATATATGTGATCAACGAACAAAAACCAATTACACTGTTAGGAGGACTATCAAGCGCAGCTTCAAATACTGAACTTTGCTCTGATTGGCTGTCATTTTTAGGCTGCGGCTGTAGGCTGTAGCTGCATGGTAGCTGTTCTAGAAGCAGTAGAAATTTATTTGTTGTTTGCAGCCATAGCTGCAGCTAAAAAAAAATCTGCAGCGAACACAGCCCAGGTAAACAAACCAGCTACACACCAGTAGCCAAATCTTTTATGGACACTGCATTGAACTCTAATGTGAATATACCCAGCAGATGAATCATCATTTTCTCTTTTATCCAAATGACAGGAAATCTTTTTCTGACAACGAACAAATACAGAGAAGACGACACGAGACTCATGCGGTGATAATCCACATAGCATTTTAATTCTTTCAAAAAACGGAAATATATAAAATGTGCGCCACTTACTACATATCTATCGGACTATCGGTACCTATCAGTGGAGCAGCATTTTTATTTCCCCCCTTGGAAACATTGCACAAGCTAGCACATACTCACGCGTAGTGTTATGTTATCCTAGACGCTGGGAAGATGGTCACTACATGCCTAGTGATTAATATTTGACCTCATCATCTAGGAGGTCTATGCGCTAGAGTCAAGGCATGTTTCCAAGGGGAAAAAAAGTTTCCAAGGCATGCATGAGTGATTAATATTCGATCGACAGAACTAGCTTTGAGAATACGTATTCCCTATTTTGTTTCCAGTCAAGATTACATGACCTGTACGGCTGTACATGGACTTTCAGCTCCGCCGCTCGCTCCCCGCCTGGCACGTACCAGTGCCCGTCACAGCCTCGCCGGAGATATTGCCGGGGTGAAGACATTGAAGCTGAGAGACGGACGAGAGAAGGGGATAAGGATTGAGAGGTGAGAGGGAGACAGGGAATAGTCGAGTACGTAGAGGACAAACGGGCTATGAGAGCTGAGAGCTGAGTCGACTTCCCGCCTCCGGCCGGTTCCCATCGAATACGCACTACTAGTAGAGCTTCGTTGGAACCCTGACAGCGAAACGAGAAGAACGGGCACGTATCACAAAGCTAGCTAGCGCAGCCGGTGGTTGAACGATCAGGAATGGAAACCATGGTACAGTACAGGTGAGCGCGACAGGTCGGTCCAGCGCGGCATGGTACAGGCACGCAGGGCCCGCCCAGCAGGCGGCCAGCCACGCCTCCATTGCTCCGTTTGCGGAGAGGGACCGCAGGGGCTGCGACGGCAACGATAAAAACACATGTGGCTGGCCACGTTCAACGAATCTTTTCGATTGTGTAGCATGCTTCGTTGCACGCTACGTACGTGGTCCATCACTTAAATTTTCTAAATTAATCGGTGACATTTTTTTCTATGCCACGACGTTGACGCACGGGCATGGACATGGGCAGGGGCAGGCAAATGCTGCACATGCACATCCTACGTACACTACAGGGACTGAGGAGGTTTGGCCCTTCTAGGTGGTCTTGCATGCTGGCTATATGAGTGGTTTTATGGGACAAAGGAAAAGATAAGGAGATTGAGAACAAGTCACCGCACGTCTGAAAAATGCTTGACACGTTTTCATTTTATTTATAAAAAGAACAGACGCATCACACTTACTCCGTATTCTTCCATCTCCTGTAACTAGCTCCATCAACGCGCGTATAACTTTAGCGCAGTTTTTAGGTAAGAGTTGGAGGTGCTCTGAGAGTATTTAAGCGAGTCATTGTGTTCTATATACTTTAGAAATATGTATTTCCTAGTTGTAGATCTTTTAGGCCTTGTTCGGTTCACAGTCACACGGAATCAAGTCCTGAAACCATTCCTACCAGGAATACTTGCGTAATTTGCATAGTTAGCCATCACCAGAAACTATTTCTACCAAGAATAAGCCCTAACCAAACGAGCCCTTCATATATATTTTAACTATCCGGTGCTAGGGTTTTTCAACGCATCCGAGCATGAAAGCTCCTGTCCATTGGATATCGCCCAATTCAAACTCAGATAATCCAATTTAGACCATGACTCAAGCTGTTGTCACCTTCCTTAGCTCCGCCAATGGTTCGACTGTGCTAGATGTTTAAGCATTTGGGGTTTACTTAGAGCTAAATTTTGCAATTTTGGGATGGAACTATTTTGTATCCGAGAATGCAAGCTTATAAGAGGTTGTAATGTTACGGCAACTCAGTAATAAGGATTGAGGACGGCTGTGAGGGTAGGGCATCAACACGGCGATGGCATTGATGACCGCGAAGGGCGAAGGACCTCCCGTTCGAGTGTTAGTGTGGAAGGAGGGGGGCATCATGGTGAGAGTCAAGCAGAGCCAAGTTAGATGACAATGGTTAATTTAGTTGCCACCAAAGATTGGTAGATGTAGGGCAGAGCGGGTTGCCATGTCCACCATGGTGGACTTGCAGTTGCATACCACAAAGAAGAAGAAGGCCATTTGGAAAAAAAATCAAAAAATGAAGAGGTCATTTGAAAAAGTCAAAAAATTGGATTTTAACATGTGAGAAATTAAAACCAACATTTACGTCTCTAAATAATATCATACAAAAATATTTCAAATATAAACTTATTGATCACATTTAGAGCTACAACTTTGGTATAAACCATGTTAGCATCTAAGGTCGCTTGGAAAAATAAATATCGAAATATGAGAAATTAAAAAATAAATATTTGGGCTCGCCAGATAAAAAATTAGCAAAACAAGTTGTATATCACATTGAGATATACAAAAATTCAAAAATTTAACTATAAATTTGTCATTTTGAAAAACTCAACTATAAATTTGTCAAAATCCTAGGTCATTTTGAAAAATTCAAAAAAAATAAATTTCAAAATCTAATATCTTAAAACACGTATTTGAGCTTCTAAAAGAGCTTAAATAAAAAAAGTTGTCAACTATAAAGTTATAGAGTGATCGAACTCTCCAATTTTTGTATAAAATTTGTACTCACCCATCTTAATATGAAAAATTAAGAATTTTTAATATAATATAAAAGAAAGAGAGACCACTTGACATGTGGCACCTACCGTGACGTTAGCAAAACCACCCAGGAAATCACTTTTGAAATAGTCAAAGGGGTATTTTATCCGGTTTTGAAAGTTGAAGAGGTAAGTGAGTTTGAGGATGTTTTTTAAATCTAGCGATAAAAGTTTTAGGGGTTAAATCGGACATTACACAATAGAAATCTAACAAATTTACCAAAGCCCGCACAGACCATCTAGCATTGTATTATCTTATATATTTCGTATGCACGTACCTTAGGGCTATTTGGATGAGATAGAGCTAGTTACTAGCTGTGGATAAAAAAAAAGCTGAGGATAGTCCATCTATTAGCCATTTTGTTTAGATTGATGAAGACTTATTTTAAGTAATTATTTTAGCTAGCTAACAATTATCTCTTAATACCAAGAGGCCCTTAACGTTGTACGATGAACCGTTGGTTGGACTGGGGAACTAGGGACCCAAGGGAGGTCTTGTGTCCGCGAGTTTTTTTTTTTTTTTTTCTGTCCAGGTGCAGACGGAGCCGGCTGCTCCCGGGCAGCGAGGGACCCGAACGAAGGCGGCCCTGCGGCAGGACCAAGCTGCAGCTCGCCGATCGCTTCGTGGAAACACGGGGGAACCGTCAACGCAGGACAGGCACGCGCGCGGTAACGCCAAATCGCTAACGGGACGACGACGGCGACAGCGAGCCAGCTACGCTCTTCGCTGGGGGAGCCTTGTATCGTGTTCGGATCGGTGGAGTCCGGTGGAACCCCAAGCCCCCGACCCCGGCGGCGCGACGCCGTGAGCGCAGTCAGACGAGAGGACAGAGGTATTCCACGGTTGATGGTTCCCCCGTGTTTCCACGAAGCGCAGGGCGCAGGCGCAGCCAATATTGAATGAGAGCCACGAGGACGGGGCCCACAGCACTGTCCCACCCCACGCAGCCGCGGACGCGCACGCCATTTGTTTTTTTTGTTTGTTTTTTTGATGAGCGTACGTAGAGGACGGCAGGCACCATATAACAGGAGGCGCGGCTCCGCACTCCGCGGTCCGGAGTGAACGGACGAGCGAGCAAGCCCCGCCTCCCATTCCACCGTCCCCCTGCGTGCGCTGTGCTGCCGCCGCCTCCCATTCCACCGCGCGGAGCTGCCGAGTGCCGTCGTACGTCCCGCCGGCCGGAGTTGGTCTGAGTTGGATCTCTCGGAGCGAGCGAGCGAGCGAGATGGGCGGCGGCAACGGTGATGGAACCACCCCGCTGGGGGAGCCGCTGCTGGCGAAGAAGGCGAGGGCGTACCGGCCGAGGTGCCCCGGCTGCCGGGTCGACCGCCTGAACGCGGAGCGGGAGGGGGTCTTCCCTCTCAAGGACCTCTTCCTCATCTGGCTCGTCACCATCACCTGCAGTAAGCTACCGGCCCGCCACTGTCCACTGCTACCCAATCCATCGCTCCTCCCCACCTGTTCCTGCACTTTCTTCTCGTGCTCGTTGTTTTTTGCTCTTGTGGAGCACTGTAGCATTTCCGGCCATCGTCTTCCCCCGGCTGCAAATCGCACGGCCACTAGCGAGCATTTTTGTTGTTGTCTGCAGGCTGCAGCTAATTAATTAATGGTGTGCTGTTCTCTGGGTGGGGTTTTGGTTTTGGGGGCGACCGTGCGAACTACGATGCTAGACACTAAAATATACCTGGGATATACTGTTTGCTACGCGCATCCAGGTTGCTGAACGACGATTTGCATACTGCTCGATTCAGGATCTTCGTCGCCATGGCTAGCTGGCGATAAGCGGTTAACGACGATTCAGCTCTTTGTTCCTTCCAGATTCAGTCTGGCCAGGCAGGCAGGCGCTTGCTGTTACGTGATCCCACCATCGTTCTAGTCCAGGAATCGGAGCATTATTCGCAGTGAATCCAATAGATCGGTAGGCCCTGGATCGCTGTCAAGATGCTTGGCGATCAGTGCTAGTAGTACTATTTATTTGAGATTCAGTGCTACTATTTACTAATTGAGATTCAGTGCTAGTGCCACCACTAATTTAATCAGCACGCTGACTTATAATACTCTACTCCAATTGGCAGGGCAGCTTATCATACACCAACCAACAACTTGTTTGGCTACAATTGGCTGTCTGGCGTTGACGTACTCTTATCTCGTCAAGTCGCCATACTTTTACATTTTTACTTTACAAAAAGAAAAAAAGTCGCCATACTTTTTACTACATACATATACACAAACGCATGCGATGATTGGCTTATCTGACTTTTTGCTGTAGATCAGTAGAGTATCGTATCGTATCGTTACTACTCGCGTGACACTCTGAGCTCGTGATCCATAGGTCCTGCTCTTCTTTTCTTCCTCTGATCCTCTCTATCTATCTATCTATCTATCTATCAGGCGAAACTGTTCTTCGTCTTCCCCACCGCGGCTAATGAACACTTACACTATAGACGACGCTCCCCTGCCACCGCCCGGTCAGCTACTGCCCACTTCCTCCGCTAGGCCTGCTGCCTCCCGAGGCCTTGCTTGTTTCAGCTTACAGATTGGGTGCTGACTGTTCAGAGGCCCTTTCCAACAATTTGCTTCCCTCGAGCTGAAAAATCCACAATTTCTAAGCTAAAACAAGCGTGGCCATAGCTTGGTGCGCCTCCCCAAACCCGAAAACCCAGGATCCATAAATCCGCAGCGGAGGCCCTAAAATCCTCATTTAGGTCTTGTTTAGATACCCTCAAAATTCAAGTTTTTTCACTCCCTCTCCATCACATCAATTTTTAGACGCATGCATAGAGCATTAAATGTAGGTAAAAAAAATTACTAATTACACAGTTTAGTTGTAAATCACGAGACGAATCTTTTGAGCCTAGTTAGTCTATAATCGGACAAAGTTTGTCAAATACAAACGAAACGTGCTACAGTGTCCAGATTGTAAAAATTTGCAATCTAAACAAGGCCTTGGCGTAGTTATACGCCTTTTTTGTTTGTACTTTATCTCTTTTCTCGCCTCTATTAATATATTTGCCTGGCAGAAGTCCTGCCAGCAATTTTCCAAAAAAAATAAATAAATCTGACAGCTGATGAAAGCGGTAAATTATTCTCGACGTCAACAGTCACCTGGTTGATTCGACGTTTTCCAGCGCGCGGAGAGCAGGAAATGTGATTGTTGCTTCTCAATAATTGGTGGTGCTGTCACTGTTGATAATGAATTATTGTACTCTCAAGGACTTTCCCCCCACTTGTTTTTAGTCATTATAAAACTAGTTATGCTGGAACTAAGCACATGCATGCCTCTGAATTACTGTTTTCATACCGTTTGACTTATACAATCTCTCTTGGTTATCAATTAGAAATTCACATAACTCTGCTGTGTTTTTCTATCTGCAGCCCTGCCGATCCAGTCTCTGTTTCCCTTCTTGTATTTTATGGTGAGTAATAAGATTCTCTCCCTCTCTCTCTTTGGTTTTATCGAAAAATGGGAATTGCTACAAGTAGCATCAGTGTTTTCCGTTTTCAACATCTGTTTCCAAGACGACTCTCTCTCTTTCTCTCTCTATGTGTGTGTGTGTGTGTGTAGACTAGTATAGTTAAGATGGTACTATTACAGTCGATCCTGCCGGTATTTGAGTAGCTGGATTTCAATACTAATTGGGGCCAGGGTAGAGCACCTGCTTTCCCTCTAAAGAAATAGCTCCAAGATATTCTCAACTGGGGTTCCTCTTTGAGTGAGCCACCTTGTTCCCATTTTATGCTAAAATTAGACTTCAGACACTTTTTCCAGGCAGTAAAATTCCAGAATTGACATGGACCTGAGAGCTGGAGTCCTACGTGGCATGTTTGGGTAGGACTTAAAATGTAACTACCCAGCCACACAATTAAACAGTTTAAGTGGACAAATAATTACAAACGAGGGTTAACCTGCTGTGCAAGAGTACCCCCACCCCCCCTAAAAAGTCCTGCTCAGAGAACTCGAACCAATTTGATGTGGGTTTTCTGTGTTAGGACCCACTTACCTTTTCTTGTTGATGTAACTAAGTTCAGGGATGCACGATGCTGTTGTTTGTATGGCTCCAAAAGTATAACTAAAGCCATAAAGAAAAGGTATGATTAGAGTCAGAATTGGCAAAAAGAAAACAGAGGATAAGTTGGCTCCTACGGTCTTCTGTGCCGTGATGCTATCAACAGTAAAGTCAGCCTTTATGCATTCCTCTTCTGTTTTTTGCTGGAAACCTTGTTGCACTTGCACTCTTCCATATCGTCTTCAATGCTAGCCCATTTTTGGACTAAGAGTACACATGCTACCGATAGGACAGGATGACAAATTCCTGCCATCGTGACTTGGGACAGTTTATGGGGGAACATAGATGACGATAGCCTTTCCCCTTTGGACAGGAAGTTAGATCCTTTAAGTTTTGGAATGAATACCTTTGGATCTATAGCCCTCTTCTAAGTGAATCGCTATCAGGTTTTCATAAACTTATTCTCTTTTCTGTAAGGTTCATAAATATACTATCGTCTGTTAACCCTTGACATTTTGCTTGCAGATAAGGGATCTGAATATTGCTAAACAAACACAAGACATTGGATTTTATGCTGGTTTTGTTGGTGAGTTGTCTGATAAACACTGTTCCACTTCTGTGTCTATCTGCCCAAAAGAATCTGAACATAGCAGTGTATGGATGTTTACTTTGAACTATATATGCATAAGCTTTATCTATCAGTATAAACTTATGGTGCATTTTCTATCAATGAAGGCGCTTCATATATGTGTGGGAGAGCAATCTCCTCAACAGTATGGGGAATCGTGGCTGATAAGCATGGAAGGAAACCGGTTATCGTACTGACCCTTGTTGCAATGTAAGGATCTTTTTTTTTTTGACAAAACACAGTCACCTATTCAATAGTAAACTGTAATATGGGCTTTTATTTTGGTTTTAGTTTTGCTGATGCACCCAAATTTTGGGCTTTTTTCTTCTCTATTTCAGAGTTATCTTCAATACTCTCTTTGGACTAAGCTCAAACTATTGGATGGCATTAATCACACGATGCCTGCTTGGGGTCATGTGTGGTTATCTCGGGCCAATTAAGGTACTTAAGCATATGGTTACTGGGACCGACCATCATCTCCGTTCACTAACTGCTCAGATAATAAGTTCCATAATCTTCTGTTTACATTCCACAGTAACTTGTTTCTAATTGTATCTACTGTTTTCTGAAACCTTTTCGCAAGAGAACAATACTCCATAAATTCAGTTTATTTCTTACAAATTTGCACTGCCATTTTGTTGTTAGAATGCCTTGAATATTATCCTGAAATTGAAGCTTGGTTGGTTTCACTGCAATAACTTTATGCTATTCCTTTTTGTGTATTCAGGCTTATGCTACAGAAGTGTGCCGAAAAGAATACAATCATCTGGCTTTGGCAGTTGTAAGATGCTCAATAATATTACTTTTTTTATTCTTCATTCTGAAACCCCAATGTTCATGAGTTGCTACTGCTGATCCACCAGGTTTCTTCTTCACGAGGCATTGGTCTCATTATTGGACCAGCTATTGGTGGTTATCTTGCGCAGGTAATATTCAATCTATAGTGAAAATTAAACTATGTATACCAACTTAATCTGTATAATTTGACCATTCTTTCTTTTTTGTGACCATGGCTTTATAAATAAAAAATCTGAAATTATGTTGCTTTTCAAAGTCTTTCTTGTTTGCCCTTTTCTTTTTCCAATGATCCTTTATAAACTTTGAGTGCTTGATTAGTCTGGTGTACATTAATGATTATTCATCATGATCTGAGAAAGCAAGATGTTCCTCCACTAATACATATTATCTCAAACCACATTGATACATATCGATGCTTCCACAGCCCACAGGCTGATTCTGTTCAATGTTGTATTGTAATGTTTTTGGCAGCCATGCACAAAAAAATTATCTATCTGTTAGATTATTGGATTGACATGCAATTTAGAGAAGAAGAAAAAACACTACAACCCTAGTAAACTGATCTGCTTGTTGATTGCTTTTATAACAGCCTGCAGATAAATATCCAAGCATATTCTCTCAGACGTCCATATTTGGGAGGTATGCATCTGCTTGTGCATCTTGTTTTTTATGTTTTTATGTTCATTGCTTCTATTATATTCTAATTATGTTATATCATGCAATGTTTTAGGTTTCCATATTTTCTTCCCTGCCTGTGTATATCGATCCTTGCAGTTGTTGCTCTAATTGCCTGCATCTGGTTTCCGGTGAGTTTGCCATTCCTATATGCCTACCATGCTCAATTTATATTGGAGAAAACATCAGTTAGGCCTTTTATTCCTGTTGTGCACCAAGAGTCAAATAAGCAGAGAACCCTATTGTAGATCCACACTAATGTGTAACTGAACCTTAAATCATATAATCTATCGCAATACACTTAGCAAACTCAGGGACTTTCTGTTGTTCTGAGCATTGTAGATCCACACTAATGTGTAACTGAACCGGGGCCCTGTTCGGCTTGCTGAATTTTGGCTGAAACTGGCTGAAAAACACTGTTCTGGCTGAATTGTTGTGAGAGAAAAATACTGTTCCGGCTGAAAAAAGAAGCCGAACAAGCCAGCTTCTGAGTAAGCTGAACGGGGCCTTGTAGCTGCACACCGCGTGGCAAGCGCGGAGAGCACCTCTCAAACAAATGTAGCTGCACGCCTGCACGCTTCCTATATATGACGAAAGTTGCTACCTCTAAGTGGCACCTGTAGGGTACCAGTACAATTTTTTGATGTGCGGGAACATTCATTCTTGCTTTGATTTAAGAGTTGGCAGGATAGATAGATTACAAATTACACCATGTTTACTGAAACATGTATATCAAATTTTACATCTTTCTGTCGTTGTTTAGCACTAAACGTAATTGCAGTGCAACAGTATCGTCAGCAGGTCATCTGTCGTTTAATATACAAACTGAGATCGAAATTGCTTGTGCATTTTTACAGGAAACTTTGCATAAACACAATGAGGATACCGTTGATAATTCAGTTGAAACTGTAGAAGAATCTCTTGCTGGTACAGACACTGAAGAAAATGGAGGTGGTGGATGTCTAAAATTATTTACAAACTGGCCGTTGATGTCATCTATTACTTTATATTGTATCTTCTCTCTTCAGGATGTGGCTTATGCAGAGGTAAAAATTGCAACTTGTTTGCTTAGTTGCTTTTCTGTTGTTGTTACGTCTCATGCTTTCTCCTGTAAAAGAGCATCCAGTGCACTTGTTATTACTGTATCTGAATCAGGAAAAACTTGCAGACGTTCTCTCTTTGGGCTGTCAGTGACAGATCGTATGGTGGATTAAGCTTTACTACCACAGATGTGGGCAATGTCCTTGCAATGTCAGGTATGTGAAAATAAGCACAAAAACAAAATCCACTGAAATTGGTGTTGAATTAGGCCCACATAGCCCTTTACACTTTACCTTGATTGCTAGAATTTGGTGTGGAAATAGCCTATTATGATTGAGCAAGTGGTCTCAGAGAGAGGTTTTAAGTTTTAACATCTCTGTCTGAGGAGTGAGGGAAACGGGTGCTTCAAAGCCCTGCTACTTTAGGAGCCTAGTTAAAAGTGAGTATGGTATTACCTATTACCTTAGTACCCTTTGTTTAGGTTTGAGAAAGCTCGGAGTTCCGAATTTATGGGCAATGGCTTACAGATTTTCCATGGGACTTAAAAGCTCTTCATATAGAGGATAATTGCTTTAGGTTGGAGATCCAAAGGACTTAAGCAACTCGCAGTAAACTGCTGCACATGACTAATAGTGCACATATGCCTAGTTTGTTGTAATTAGTAATATATGCTAAAACGAAGAATTGAGTCTTTCAAGAACTATATCTGAAGCATGTGAATGGAAAACTTGGAACTCAGTTATTTGTATTTCAAGCTTTGATGCTCTATTGTATTGCAGAGAAAGCTCTATGTACTTATATATATATATTTTTTGTCAGGTCTCTTCCTTTTTCTATATCAAATGTTGATTTATCCATTGCTTGCAAAAATGGTGGACCACATCACATTAGTTCGTGCAGTGGCGGTAAGGCAATAGATTACCTGTTCTGTTTAACCATATTCTGACACTTCAATTAACTAAACACTCTGATGTGCAGATATTGACTCTACCACTTCTTGCTAGCTATCCATTCTTTCCTTCATTGAAAGGGTTCATGCTTATGTTGGTAGTAAATTGTGCTTCTTTTCTGAAGAATACTTTCTCGGTGAGTGCAAACTTTCTTTCGTAGCTTTTCTGTTTAGAACAAATATGTATATTTCAAACACAACATTGTTTCACTTTGTGATGCCTAAGCAAGTCAGGCTTCCAATACAGAAACAGGTTTTTTCAAACAATTTTTTCTTGGTGTGCCCAAGAACTGAACAGAGAAGTTTGGTGCCAATGACTAATGCTTCATCCATGGCACTATTTATGTCAATGATCATTGAACGTGTCATGGACATATTTCAACTTACTGCTGGCATTGTTAGTTCAAAAACTTAGTTATGTTCTTCTAAACTGTTTTCAGGTAACTACCATTACCGTGTTCAACATTTTGATGAATGAAGCTGTGGTAAGTTCTTAGTGATGGGTAATTTGGTTTCTTCTATGAAATTGGTTAGATTTCTTTCCTAACATCAGTATGCCATATGACATAAACAGACTCAGGATGTAAGAGCTGCAGCCAATGGTATAGCTGTAACACTAATGTCCATTTCTAAAGCTGTTGCTCCAGCTGTTGCAGGAATTATGTGAGTATTCACCATTCACGTCTCAGTATTTTCCAAACCATGCATTGCAATAGTTTCGAGAAGGTTAGCAGCTTTATTGTAAAAGAAATGATATCTAAATCTGATTAGCCAGAACAGCTTTTGGGGCTGCCTATTTCATGGCAAAAGGCACCTAGTATCCAACTTGAAATTACTCCCAACTTTGTTTTAGAAATTCAGGGAGCATGCGGTAAAACATCTAGAGCTTATACTTGAAAATTGCTATTCAGATTGTTCATGTGGTTTGTAGTGAAAATTACTATGTAATATAGTTACTTCACAATCTTTTAATATTATTTTCAAATGAAAAGTAGTAGTCGAAGTTGCACATCAGAAGTCCAATCGATGTGCAAAACCCCATGTCTTTCACAAATTGATGATGTTATTTCAGTTTCCAAGCCTAATAATGGTGCATTTCTTATTACTATTTACTGTTGTTTCTTTGCTGAACTATCCCCTTATCGTGGTTATCATTATTTCTTCCTCTGTAGATTTTCATGGGCCCAAAGGCGTCAAATAGCTTCATTTCTTCCAGGTATCACACCAGAAAATCTTTCTTTACTTTATCCTCTACTGGCTATTATTGCACACCTCTGTTAAACATCTGGTCTGAATCTTGCAGGCGACCACTTGGTGTTCTTCATACTGAACATCTTCACGCTCACCGGTCTCATCTTCACCTTCAGACCGTTTTTTGTTCGAGGCAGCGCGAAGCACTGAAACATGAACGAAGCAGACCCATGGTAATAGGTATCCTATCCAGGGGCAATGAAATATAAATTTTCTTCCGGCGTGGCTGAGGGAGGTGCCGAGCCTGTACGACCTAGGCAAGAACACAAGCGTATGGTACACAGCAAGGCCGTGTTGTTGTAAGTTTTGTAATTTCTGTTTCTTCTTCTCGGCTTCGCAGCATGCAGTTGCTGTATATGATGGAAGAACATTCTGTTACTGGGCATGTTGCTCGGTTTTCACGCGTGTAAGTAATGTAGAAATCGTTATGGTAGGTATTTCCATATACTGTCATTAGTGGAGCATTGATTCTTTTGTAAGCAAGTTATTACAATGCCCTTTTTCCGGGCATGAATAAGTAAAGGGAAATATGCTTATATGCATATTATGAATGAGTGAGCAATGGACTTGTACTGTATTCGTGATCTATTTAATTCAGATTAAGAAAAATGGTGATACTTCAAACCATTTAGTTCGCACAAAAACCTATCTTAACAAGTTCTCATTTGATCATGTAATTCTGTTTGGTGAAATTCTCTTCAGCCTTGTATCTTATTGTTGACGTCGGAAGTGATCCGAATCACATACCAGCAGGGCCTTGGACGCCCGGGCCGCTACGGATCGAAGAACGCAGCTAGGATGTCACTCTTTCGCGGTAAAAAACGGAGAGGTTTACAAGCAAACCACCAAAGGATAATCAACGTGCTTACTTGACGAAAAACCGGCTAGTTTTCATGCAAACTAGTAAAGAAACCGTCGAAACTCTCGCCCGGGAGGGAACCCGTCAGGGCAAGGACGTCGCCGTATTGCCCTAGGTCGGCCGGCAAACCTAGGGCGCCATCCTTGGTCGTCGAATCAAGGGATGAACAACATGGGGTTGGAGAAGAGGGTAAAAGGGTTGGAGTAGAGGTAGTAGATTGATTTGTTTGACGATTGGATAGATGGGAACTCAATCGGCCATGATCCTCTCATATATATAGAGGGGGTGGTCTTATCCCAGTAGGAAACCTCTTCAAGCCTTATTTTCCAAGTTTTCCACGAGTTTCGAACAGTTCGGATCGGAATCCAAAAGGCCAGATCCGAACAGGGTTTTTTTGTTAGGTTTGTCGGAAGTCCCGACTTGGATCGGAACTCCCGACCTTTGTCGGAACTCCCGACGTGGGGATAATCCCAGACTCCCGAGCAGGTTTCTTCAGGCTTCCCAGAAGTACCGACACCTGTCGGAAGTTCCTACAGTCGGAAGTCCCGACTCGGGTCGGAACTCCCGACAACGGAGTATTTTTCCGGGGGCGTAACTCCTTCATCCGGACTCCGAATTAGACATTCCATATATGTTTTTTTGACCGTCTCGATGAGACGAACGCAATGGTGAAGTCCGTTCCACATTTTGATAACTTCACAAAATGGACAATTTTGGTTGTCAACATATGGGTTCCTCAGGTGAATGATGCATGAACCTGAAAACACTTGTCAAAACAAAACCAAACAGCGACGATACCCATCTCATCGGCTGCTCAGTGGCTAAGGGCGATGTATACATCAGCCATTTTTGTTCTAAGGGCGATACATGTATCGGCCATTGTTTGGAGAGCACTTATGCTTCTTACCAAACACTTGGAAAGTACTTTTTCAAATACCTCTCGTTGATTGCTCTTGTGAGACGTTCACCTTGCAATGTCACTAGCATATAAGAATTTTTTGAATATGATTTTGATCACTTTGTAAGAACCCTCCCAATTTGGTGATCACTTGCCAAATTGACTGCTCTTTGATCCAATTGGTAGTATGGTTTTACACACTAATTCTCCCACTTGGAAGGATTTACTCTTGACTTTCTTGTTGTATGCCTTGGCAACTCGAGCTTTGTCTTTCTCTATTTCCTTGAGAGCTTTTAATCTTACATCAGTCACCTCATCGATATTATCCATCATCAAATCATGATACATAACATCAGATAAATCATTTTGTTTAGCAAGCTTGTATGCATCCAAATTTATTTCGACGGGCAACACGACCTCTTGACCATATCTCAAAAGGAGTAACTTTTGTGGCACCATGCCTTGAAATTCTATGTGCCCATAGAGCTTCAGACAAAACTTCATGCCACCTCCTTGGATTTTCCTCAATCTTCTTTTTGATAAGCTTGATCAAAGTCTTATTACTAGACTCAGCCTGTCCATTAGCTTGAGCATAGTATGGAGATGAATTGAGCAACTTAATCTTATATAATTCGGCAAACTCCCTCACCTCCTTAGACACAAATGATGTCCCTTGATCTGTAGTTGATGTTTGAGGGATGCCAAATCTATGGATGATATGCTCAGTGATAAACTCAATTACCTCCTTGTGTGTCATATTCTTCAAAGAAACTGTCTCGGTCGACTTAGTGAAGTAATCCGTAGCAACAAACACAAATCGGTATCCCTTTGAAGATGGGGGATGAATTTGGCCAATGAAGTCTAGCCCCCAACCACTAAAAGGCCATGGTTTGATGATAGAATGAAGCATAGCAGCAGGCACAAGTTGAATATTTCCAAACTTTTGGCACTCTTCGCAACCTTTGTAGTAACAAAAACAATCGGCCATCATAGTAGGCTAATAGAAACCGGCTCTATGCAATAACCACTTCATTTTCGGGGCGACTGATGCGTACCACAGATGCATTCATGGACTTCTCCTATAGCCACTCTTGCTTGATTAGATCCTAAGCACTTAAGCAACAAATCTTTGGTGGTTCTCCGATAGAGCTCATCATTATGCAACACATATTTGAAAGCGCTCCACCAAACACCTTTATCAATCCTAGCACTTGGATCATGTAGATATCTCAACAAGGTAGTCCTCCAATCTTCTGAATCAGCACCAATATCACTGGAAGTTACATTGGACCGATTTGGAAGCTTCTCGAGCGAATTGACCAGGCTGGTCACAGGAGAGTCGGCTTAGGCAACTTGGTGGAGTCAGCTTGGCCGACTAGAGCAGTCGGCCTAGCCGATTGGGCTGCAGCAGAGAGGGAATTGGCTGAGCCGACTAGGGTAGTCGGCTGAGCCAACTAGGGTAGTCGGCTTAGCCGACTCGGGTGTATCTGCATGGGAAAAATTTAGATTTTCATGCATCAGTTGTTCTTAAATATGAAAATTACGCCCACCGGCATCATAGCTAGATGTCTGTTGAGCTAACATGTTGGCCTTTTGATTTTCATGCCTCGGAATATGCCGAATTCGGAATTCGACAAAATAGTCAATAATATCAAGGCAAGCATCAAGACAAGTTCTTAGTGACCCTTCTAAACATTGAAATTCACCTGCAACTTGCTGTACCACCAGCAAGGAATCACCATAGGCTTCAACATGTTATACCCCATGGATTGCAATATGGCTAAGCCGAATAAGAAAACTTCACATTCGACTCAAATGTTGGTACATATATAATTTTAATTGGCTTGATATCTCCAATAGCACCATCGTGAGAAATAATGATTATGCCAACACCTTGGCCTTATTTGCAAGCCGATTAATCATATTGTCACATCCATGAAGTAAATCAAAATGCATATATCATGCCCCCCGGTCGCAAGCATTCATCGGCTATATTTCTATGCTAAGGGCGATATCAAAATATCGGCCATATGAATTCATCCACACGAGCATGTATAAATATTTTGGCTCTTGATCATCAATAATCAAAATAATTTGGCAACCCTCCATAACATAAAGATCCATACCAGGGATCAAAATAAGGAGCTGAGGCATAACCATGCATACCAAGGGATGAATTCCACATAGGCATAGGCAGAGAGTATGAATGATGCCATGACCAATGATTTTGATGATTTGGTGCAAACCTCCAACTTGGCAATTATTTATTGAATGTCCTTTCCTTTGCTTTTGTTGCACCACTTGCTTGAACATCATCCTTCTGGGCTAGAATACTTCCTTTAGGAACCCATGCCAAGCCTTTTCCTTTTAGCTTCTCTTCACTAAGCTTCTGTAACTTCTTCTCTTGCCACTTTGGTAAACCGATTGAGCATATCGGTTTTATTTCTGTTTTGGACAGCAGCAAATCTTTCTTGATTTTTGGCACTCTCACCTTCTTTTGTTCAGATTTGGCACCTAGAATGTCAATAGATGATTTCCCCACTTCTTTGTCATCAATAGCCGGATTTTTCAGCAATGTAATTGGCTTTTCAATAGTTGAATTCAGATCTAAACTTTTCTTCTTCCGGCCATCATACTTTATGCGGTAAACTTGCTTTACCACTTTCTTCTTCGATTGAGCTCCAGACCGATTTTGATCAAAACAATCTTTACAAGATGATGATCCCTCTGAATGTCTAGGAGCTGCATACTCTACATATTCTGGTCTAAAATATGGTGGAACATGTGCCTCTTCATCAAACTAGCCCTAAGATGAATAAGGATAAAAATATGTGGGTTATGGCCCATACTACATGGGAATTGACTGCTCAAAAGGAGAATATGTTGCTACTACGTGAGATCTATCTCCTTGCTGATTCCACTCTTGAGACTTGCGCTTTGGATGCAATTTTGATGATTGGACTTTTTTGGCCGATTGGTGACATTTGCTTCTCCTATCTTCTCATATTTAGCTAGAAGTTCCTCGAAGCTGAGCTTCGGCCTTCTACTTCTTTGTTTGTCATGGCCTTTACCTCCATTAACTTTACGAGCATCCTCCTTCTCCCCATCTTGTCAGACATGCTCCAAAGGAGGATCCTTAGCCGATTCCCCTTGCTCAACGAGATCAATCGACTTTTGCTTTAGTTGGAGAGATTTCAGCTGCCCCCAGTGTCTTTTGGAACTGTGATAAGTTTGTTGTCCTCTAGAATATCTTCTATTTGCAATTCATCAACAACAACCTTGTCTTCACTTGAGGGCTCCACGTCTCTCTCTTGGGCGTTCAAGCTTTGAGCTTTGAGTGAATCGGCTAATGCAAGCCGATTCGAAACTTGTTTGCCATCAAGACTAATTGAA